ACTCTAGTTGAACATTGTATTAACACAGAGTCAATGCCTATAAAGCAACGGTATTATCCCGTTTCACCGATAATGCTCCAAAATATTAATGGCGAATTAGAAAAACTTCTAAAAGAGGGTATTGTGAGACCAAGTCATAGTCCATGGTCGTCACCAATTCTATTGGTTAAAAAATCAGATGGTTCGTGGCGCTTCGTGGTGGATTATAGGAAATTGAACCAATCAACTGTGAAAGATGCGTATCCTCTACCATACGTGTCGGCAACACTAGATAAGCTGCGGGATGCTCGATACCTATCTTCCTTGGACATAAAATCGGCATATTTTCAGGTTCCTTTAGCAGAATCCTCTCGTCCGCTCACAGCATTTACGATACCAGGTAAAGGGTTATTTGAATTTTGTAGAATGCCAATGGGGCTTGTGAATGCACCGGCGACGTGGCAACGTCTCATCGACAGAGTGATTGGTCCAGAATTGCAAGATCATGTGTTTGTATATCTCGATGATATATGTATAGTGACACAAAGCTTTGAAAAACACATAGAAGTGCTTCAAAGAGTTTTTGAAAAATTGAAAAGTGCCAACCTGACAGTCTCCAAAGAAAAATGTAAATTTTGTAGACCAGAGTTACGTTATTTGGGATACATTATAGACAAGAATGGACTACACGTAGATCCGGATAAAGTTAGTAGTATTTTACAAATTCCTAGACCAAAAACAGTCAAAGAAATTCGTCAAATAATCGGGGTAATATCTTGGTTTCGTAGATTCGTGCCAAATTTTTCTGCCCTAATTGCTCCGCTGTCCAAACTTACTAGAAAGAATCAGCCTTTCATTTGGGATAAATCTTGCGATGACTCTTTCCAAGGAATCAAGGATTGCTTAGTTAATGCACCCGTTTTGTCATGTCCAGATTTCTCTCTCCCATTCACAATACAAACGGATGCCTCAGGATTCGGTTTGGGAGCAGTGTTAAGCCAACAACATCCGGAAGGAGAAAAAGTTGTTGCGTACGTCTCTAGGTCGTTAAATAAAAACGAACGCCATTATACGGTCACGGAACGAGAATGTTTGGCGGTTTTGTGGTCAATTGAAAAACTTAGACCTTATGTGGAGGGAACTACTTTCACGGTGGTGACAGACCACAGCTCATTGTGCTGGTTGAATAATTTGAAAAATCCTACAGGAAGATTAGCCCGTTGGGCGATTAAAATGCAAGCTTATGATTACACCGTTGTACACAGAAACGGTAAGGAACATATCCTACCTGATACTTTATCCAGAACTGTACCGATTATAGATGCTATTAAAAATACTGGCGACACGAATACCATACAGGAAAATGGTGATGCTCAGGATAACTGGTTTCGTAAAGTTTATCATAACACAAAAACGTCTCCTGGAAAATATTCTACTTTTAAAATTGATGGATCTCGACTTTTTAAGCATGTCAATCCAAAGCACCCTGATTTGGCCCAAGAGTGTGATTTTTGGCGGGAAGTCATTCCACGTGATCAAAGAAGAAAACTGATTGAAGATGCCCATAATTTACTTTGTCATGTCGGGGTATTTAAAACTTACAAATTCTTGACTCAGAAATATTACTGGCCCAAAATGAGGTCAGATGTAGCTAATTTTGTTAGGCGTTGTCGTACATGTATTGCTGTGAAGCCTGAACAAAAACCACCGGCGGGTTTAATGTTAAGCTCCCAAGTTACTATTTCCAAACCTTTCGAGTTAATTTGTGCAGATCTCTTTGGCCCTTTGCCAAGAACAACTTCTGGATATTCTCATATTTTGGTTGTAGTTTGTTGTTTTACAAAGTTTCCTCTTATTTTCCCGTTAAGAACTGCCACTGCTTCGGCAATTTGTCGTTGTTTAGAGGACTATGTGATTTTATTGTTTGGGTGTCCGAGAGCTATCATAGTGGATAATGGTACACAGCTTCGTTCTCACATGTTCCAGAACTTAATGAAAAGCTATAACATCTCTATCAAATATACGGCATTGTACCATGCGCAAGCAAACCCCACGGAAAGAATCAACAGAGTCATGAAAAGCATGTTGATGGCTACTATTTCGGAAAATCATCGGCTGTGGGATAAAAATTTGAACCGTATTGGTGCAGCAATTCGTGGAACAGTCCATGAGGTTACTGGTTATACCCCAAATTTTATGGTCTATGGTCGGGAGCTGCCTTGTTCAAATGAAAATCTTCTCGATAATGTTGAACCGATTTTTTTCGATAGAGCTACTCCGATGGAAAATCGGTCTAAATCCTTGAATCAAATTTTCTCGGACGTCAAAAAGAAGCTTTTTAGAGCTTATGAGGTAAATAAGAAGGTTTATGATCTAAGACGTCGTCCTGATGAGCTTCTGCCTAATCATTTGGTTTGGCGTCGTAACTATGTCCTTTCGGATGCATCGAAATATTTTTCCGCTAAACTTGCTCCTCGTTTTATTGGTCCTTTTATTGTGGCTAAAAGAATTAATCCATGGATGTACGAACTTAAAGATGACTCTGGAAAATCCTGTGGTGTTTGGAGCATTAAGGATCTGAAACGTCATCCAGAAGACGAGGATCCGTAGTTTTTTTTCTTCGGTTTACTTAGGTAAACCTCCTTTTTTAGTAGGGGGGGATTTGTAACGGTTTCGATTAGTTTAGGATTCTGTATATAAAATGTACATAAGTATCATAATTGTAGGACTTGAGAAATTCCTGAGAATATATTAATGCGTCGATTCGTTTCCCACACAACGCGTTAGGTACCCCTCGTACCCCGCTTCCGCTACGATGCACCAATTGGTTCCTATCGAATTGTGAAAAGGTGATTTAGTGGTCATTTGGTTTTTGATCCGATCACAGCTATTAATGGAAATTTTGAAAAGACGTCAGATTGTAGCACGTTCCTTTTAAAGGGATCTATATCCATTATTTAGCATCCTGAGTGAATTTGGTTCTCTTGTGGAGTTGTTGTACTCACTCATCGACTTATGTCGGATTAAAGTGATCGCCTCAAAGCTGAATATTACTCAATTCTCTTGAAAATTGGAAGATCGTCTACTCTTGGGAAATCGACAAACTTCTTATATTGAAGCTGAAAATCCACACTTTACATTCCAGTGTGGTAGCAAGGTTGTACCAAGAGGGTACGTGGTCATACCTTTAAAAACAGTAAAGCAGCTACTCGATGTCCAACTCTCGTTAGCTGGTTATTCTCACGATTAATAAGGCCCTTTAGATCGCCTATTCTACAGTCCGGACGTTAATACAATCTGTGGATTCTCCAGATTGCCAGATAAGTGTATCAACGTCTTTGGGAACCTATTCTGGGAATAATATCACGTTACTATCGAACCTTTAATTTTTTTATAGTGTGTTATCAATACATTGTGTAAGATTTAGGAAATATCCAAAATATTTGCGGGTTCCTGAGTCCTCATAATTTTATAACTCTGAAACCTATAGTCGCTATAGAAGTCCGCAAATTTGTTCGTTCACATCCTTGGAACTCATAACTAATCATTTGGGACTCTATGCCATAACATTTCGCGCCCAGAGTTTTATATCTTAACGCCTATACTGAGAAGTGTGTATATAACTGTTTACATAAATATTGTGTAAGCCGATTGTGATCACAAAAGGTACTGAGAAAATTATTACATATAGGCATTCCATAATAGCAAATTTAAGCAATAATTAACATTTATTCTGGGTGCGATTTCGATAAACATAATCTTTTCTAGAGTCTCAGGAACACTGAATGTTTTATTGTTCCATATTTTCAGAAATCCTAATATACGTACATTTGATTATGTTTCTGTTTACTTGACTTCCCCTAGCTAATGTTTAATTGACACTTGATGATACCCAGTGACCAAGGTTATTGAATGAAGTTTAGAATGATTCGGTTCCTTGTAAGATGCAGAAAGTAAAGTAGAAAGTATTACGTGGCCGGATACTTAAACGTTTTGAGAGTGTAAAGGGATTTTCATAAGGTCACTGGCGCCCTTTTATTTTTATTCATACTTTAAGAACTTGCACGACCACTCACCGGCAGGTAGCTAGCCTGACACTCTTATTGACCACCCTATTTTGTGTATCTTGCTTTAGGGGAAAATTGGAGGGTGGCAAAAGTGAAAATACTTCACGCACTAGTGCGTAAAGTTTTTGTCTAAATCTATTTTTTTACACATATTTGATTGGTAGTAGAAAAATTTTTATATGCAATACGTGCGTAAAGAACCTTTTTTCACGAATGTGAATTTTGACGCACGAGCCGAAGGCGAGTGCGACAATCACATCACACATCACACTTTACACACTAGTTGCATAAATAACTATTTTTTCGTCAAGAAAAAAGTGGTCACCTTTGGAACAAGACCCGATAATAATCTACATCCGGCTTAAATAATGGTGGTCACATCAACCATTTTTGATTATTTATTCCAGGTCTCATCCTTATCTATTCTATATAGGTACTTATATAAAAATCAATGTTTGTTTGTTTGTCCCTTATGCGCTCCTACAAGTCCTACGCCACTTATCCGATTACGATGAAACTTTGGTACGTTGTTGTGGCCATCCCAAGGAAGGTTTCTGGATAGGTTACGTATCCTTACGAGGATGCGCGCACAAAAGCGTGCAACACACACGCAGATTGGCGAATGCTTGCGTTATGATTCTTATAAGCGTTTCGCGAAAATCATTGTACAGCTATTTTACAATCTATTATATAATAATCAATGGTTGTTTGTTTGTTTGTTCGTTTTTTATGGACTCAGAAACCGCTGAACCGATCTCCTTGAAATGTATACCACGTAGTCTCTATCTAAAGGGGAGTGTTATAAGCCACTTTTTAGCCAGGAAAAATGCACAATTACTGTGGGATAGATCTGAATCTTAAAGCTTGGGTTAGTTTAAAACAATTGTTTTAGTGGAGGCGTAGCAATGCATGTAGGGTACAGCTCGTTAGGCATAAAATAAAATGACAATAATTTTAGAAACTAAATTTATTTTGCAAAAATCAACGCTTATAAAACATAAATTCATGTAAAAACAGTACAACACGCAGTTTTAGCAACAAAGTTTATTTTAAACTGTAAAATTAGTACCAAAATAACCTAAAAATAGTAGGAACTAAAAATATTAAGCTTAATTTGCACCAGAACAGAAGCAAACAAAATATATGTACCTACAATGGCTTTAAATATGTAAAACATTGACATAATATTTCCTAGTTTTCTCAACTTAAGAGATAAAGTGAAAACATTCGAAGAAGTTATTTGACCAACCACAATATTAATGAACGCAAATCGTAAATCAGAATATAACCAATAGCTGGAGAAATATTAGAACACTCCTGAATAATCTACCAAGAGTTATGATTTTGTCCATTCAAGCATAAATTAGTACAAAACACTAGAAACAATTATTATGAATTTTTGTCGCCAAAAAAATTATGTATTTGATGATATTTTTCTTTTTTGAGACAAAACACATTCTGTGACGGGCATAAACTCTTGATTTTCTGCAGAATTAAAAGAGAAAAGGCTTCGCAAGACCGAGGCAAGAATTGGTAAATCTAGTTCATAAAAAACGAATGCGGTCTTAATGTTTTGCGACCAAGACGAGACTGGCTGAAACTCAGTCTCGGGAATTGTATAACTGAAATAGCATAGGTATTTTTGCACTTTCATGTAATTATTTTTACTACTGATAACTGGCATATCATATAACTCTAGGTATTTTATCAGAAATATATTTGGACTTTCTTTCTTTTATTAATAAATAAAAAAAGCAAAATGATAAAAGTAATGAAATTAAGTTGTTTTATGTATTTTTCTAGATAGAGTCTCTCTCGGAATTTAAGAGAGATTCTCAGTCAGAAATATACCTAGTCTCGCGCTGCCCTAGGCGGATCATACAGAAAAAATATTCATTGTCTCTCACTATAAGTAGAGTGTAAGTTCACCTCGAGCGAAATTCACACCAAAGAGCAAGTCCTTGAAATCAGTCATCAGATACGCGAACACAAAAAACTCTAAATTGATGAAAAGCTTACTTTGTGGAGGTCATTATTCAATATTAGTTGATGCAAAAGAAACTTTTTCAGACTCGAAAATTAACTAATCCCTAATACTTTTCTATAGCCCTGTAGTTACTTTTTGCGTGCTTGATTTATGGTGATTATTGTCTAAATATGGCTATTATTATTTAGGTTTATCATTAAAAAATAGTGCAACAATGTCATACTTAACACTTTGTTATTTACAAGATTTATTTTTCATATATAAGGCAATAAACAGATTTCATTTGAATCAAGTAAACTGATTCTTACTTAGAATAAACTCATTTTCAAAGTTCATCGTCACCAAGGTTCAATGACTCCTTATCCTTATAATGCAACATTGCTCTAGCCACAAATGTTCTTTGTAAAATTTACAAAAATTATTTTTTACAAAAACAGACCCTGTGTTGGTTATGATCGATTTTTAAAAATATCTTTTTTCTCATACAAAATGATGAATTTTTTGAAATGAGACTTCTTTAGTTAGGGTAAGTCGAAAAAAAATAAAAAATGATTTAAGCATGGAACAAAAAAACTACTTATTTTGCTCAAACTGTTCTTAAATTTTTGGCACTATATTTATGTTACCCTAAACTTCAAAAAACCTAGTAGTGCCAAAACGAATACCTGAATCATAAAATCCTGTCAAACAAAAATTACCACTTAAGCACACTTAGTGGAATATAACACCATCTAAATTTTCTTCTAGAAATTGTATGCCACACAAGCAATAACATTATCACTTAATTATTTGTAATAGAGAAAGCACTTCAAAAAGGCATCTTAGTTAACTATAGGTCACTTCATGACGCGTTTTTTATACAATTAAAGCACTCCCAATGTGGTCGTTAATATAATACACAGGTATTTTTTTATGAGAAATATTGTATACAAATTTAAAATTTGGTCCTGATATATAAAATTTTTGGAAATTAGTTTATAAGTTGAATCGTTGGAAATGCTTCTGACAATTTCAGAGATTATTTCCAAACAACTAGAAGAAAAAAGTTTCCAATATGGCATTTTGAAAACTTTTTGCAAAATACATTATTTTTGCCAAAATAGAATAGGTAATCTTTTATCTTTAAGTATACATTATTATCAATTACTTAGAAAAATAATTTTTGTCACGTACATTATAATATCACCAATAAATACTGTTTTTCAAATAACAATAATATGTACTCACTTTAATTCAATGCAACATTTTTCGTCAAATTTTAAATTTTGAGTGAATTATCAAGATTTCATACATTCGAACTTTTTTTTTTTGGAAATTTATAACAAAGTTCCCAATTTTAGGGCTGTAGTCTTTATTATTTATAGCAATATAGACAAAATAACTTTAAGATGTGTATATCCGAGAAATGACTGTTTTCATTAATTTTACAAATGATTGCAATATGGTTTGAACGTTCAGGCATACTGAATTGATGTAAGAAAATATAAGCCGTGCGTCAATTTGCTTCACAAGGAGATGTTTCATGTTGGGTACTTGAAGTTTCTGGCTTTAAGAAATTTCTCAAATTATTGATATATTGTATCTCCCATTTTGAGGGTTATTTTTTGTTGGAGAAATGCTTCTTTGACAATCTTTTTCATTAGGCGTAGTTCATTTTTTCAACAGAAATTTTGCTGTAAATGGAGCTCAGTACGCCCATGAATTTTTACCTCCCTCTCTATACAGGTGATGAGTTCAGACTTAATTCCAATATTTATAATATATATCTACTTGACCAGATCTGCTTCTCAAAAGTTTCCATGCCAAGAAATACTTTATCCCAAATTAACCGGTAACACTCTATAAGGCACGCAAAGCTCACACTGAAGTAGAGTGTCTATTGTATTATGCTCCAACAAACTCTCTGGCACTGTTAAATATCAGAGCGGTGAGACTGATTGGTAATGAGACGTTAACAGAAACTCTTCACTCGCTAGAGCAAACACCAACAAAGAGTTAGCAAATTGTCAATTTTTCATCCATATTATTAGGAAAGTACTGAAAGATCGACGATGCTCATCCTTAAAAAAGGAGGCAGCTTGTCTTGTGTGTAGGTTTCCCGACTAGAGACTTCAATACTCCAAGTCTATTTCCTATATTGAGTCTGCAATCTCTTGAATATATTGCTCGAGAAACTTCTTCGAAAAACGGTTGATCACCTGGCGTTCTTACTGTTGCTGATGAAAACTATGCTGGAGTATCTCAATCTTTATCCTTCCTCATGCTCTTGTCAACAGAATTGGAATTTCCAACATTGGTATTTGAACAGCTTAACAAGGTACCTATTTAACACATCTTCTCGCTTGATCTAGAGCATAATCTTGAATCAAATAACTTGACTCAAGAAACACGCTGTATAATTTCAACAAACCTCTTTTCCTCTTGATAATTACCAAATTTTTCTGAAAATTTAAAATTAGACGAAGACTATGGATCAGGAGCTCGTCCGCACATTATATGAAGTTTTACTGTAACAAGGTTTATCGTTTTCGATATAGCCGGAATGACTGTTGGGGATTTTTGTTTGTTTCGATAAAGAAGGATGGCAGTACTTGTAGTAGATAATTAGAAAAGCTATGGCTAAAACAAAACTTAACACTTGGCTACCCGCGGCGCCGTAGTAGAGTAATGGGTTACTTGTGGAATTGTTGGTGACGCACCTAGAAAAGGAATAAACAATTTTAATTGAATCAATAATGTAACTTACCCAAGATCAACTTACCACACAACTAAGGCCCCAGTATTCTCCATAAAACAAACTAAATAGTATACTAGATAAACGTATCTAGTAGGTCCATCTCTGGGCGAAATAAATGCTAAAACATACGCCAATCCAAGAGCAGTTGACAGAAGTAATTCCTCACATCTGCTACTGCATGCTGCCGTTTGGTGTTGACCAATAGCCAACCAAATGGACATTACTCCCCAGTGGAGAGCACAAATTACTCCCATCCAAGTGGGTAAGATAGCTGCTAGGAGGCTTAAAGCTAGGATTCGGGATACTGAAAAAAAGTATTTGTGTAGGATGAAAATACTCCATCTAAATGTTAAATTACTTACAGGCACTCATAAGCTGCCAACAAAACGCAACCAGCAGTCCTATCCACTTGATTTTGTCTTTGTCGTCCCTGGCAAACCGGACGGATCTGTGATACGAGGTTAGAGACCAAGCAATGGAGGTGACTGAAGTGAATACTGTCCAGGCTTGGAATATTGAAACATCTAAAATTTAAAACAAGGTAATGAATAAAAGTAATATTAGGCTTGAGGAAATTAAAAAAAAGCCATGACAAATGCTACCAAAAACTGAAAGCGAAATAAATCCATGGTTGGAAAAAGCAATAAAAAGTATTTATACTTAATTTTCACTAATTTATTTACTGTGATGAAGCTACAGTGTAGCGAAACATGTTACTGTAAATAAATTAGTGAAAATTAAGTATAAATACTTTTTATTGCTTTTTCCAACCATGGATAAATTCAATTTTCACCAAGTATCGGCTCAATCAATTCAAGCGAAATAAATCCTTCTTGGAGCCAATACTTGGTAAAAATTGAAATCCATGGTTGTGAAAAAGTAAAACTAATTTTTACTATATTTTCACTATATTTCATTACAACGGTCGCATGTTTTTTATCTTTAGCTTCATCAGACTGACTTGTCGGATGTCGTGAATAGGGGAATCATCCAGACACTTCAGATGCTGGATACTGGGATTTTCCATGAAAGTGTTTTCCCAATTACAGTATTCTTCACAGGATAATTTACTAAAGCATCTAGCTTTAACACTACTTTTTATTATTTTGCCCATAGAAATAAGTATTGGCAAACCAGAATAACCAGGTCGATATCTTTGCTCCATTGAAGGTATTCCTTATTCACTACACCTCTGTTATTTCAGTTTTAACCGAGGTTTCTACTAATTTCAACCGATTTCTATTTTTCTCTTGTTCCTTGTGAAATCGAATGTATTTTTAGTATACATTTTAGTATACGTCATGCATTATTTTCACAAATATCAATTCATCATTTACCAATTCATGCACTTTCCAAGGGGGAAAAGCCTCTGAGTGACCTAATGTATTTTCTGTAGAAATAGAAACTTCTGGTATCAAATTGTTAATTATTATCGAGCTTGTGCTTTGCTCAGGATCAATACCAGAAAAATGTTGTGTAGATGAATCGTAGATGAATCGCCTACCGTATAATATTTTTTCTCTCGTAGCATTTTCGATTTCCAGAGTTTGTTTTATGTCTGGAACATAATAAATGTTGGGTCCTAATACTAGATTTGATTTTATATGTCTTCTGATTATTCTATCTTTCATTTCAACCAAATAAATGAGATTCCTTTCTCTTCTTAAAACTTTACCAAATTTCCATGGACAACTTTCCCTACTGTCAAAATTTCTCACTCGAACAGTTTCGCCATAAATTCTGAAACAGCTTGATTTGCCGTCTCAATGTGTTTTTGAAATCTAACTAGACCTAATTTAGTTCGTATTTGTCTTCCATACATCAATTGAGAAGGTGACTGATTTGTAGAAGTGCAAGCATCTAGCTCTAATAATACTTTTACTTTTTATTATTTCGCCCTAGAAATGGGCAAACCAAAATAACCAGCTTGATATATTTTCTCCATTTAAGGTATTCCTTATCCACTACACCTCTGTCATTTCAGTTTTAACCGAGGTTTTAACTAATTTCAACTGATCTCTATTTTTCTTTTGTCCCTTGTGAAATTGAATGTCTTTTCAGTATACATTGGATGCATTATTTTCACCTAATTGTTAACTCATCATTTACCAAGTCATGCAGTTCATTGTCCTTGTTACATGCAACGTTGTTACGACCGACTCTCCAATTATAGAAAAAATATATATTTAAAATTGTACCTACTTAAATTTATATAGTTCCGGTCCGGATACATAACGAAACTTAACAAAAACACTAGCTGCATCACAGCCTGAGGGGCACAATGTAGAAAACAATGGAACAGCCTCAGCAAGGAACTGTTGGTATCTTCGTCGAGCATTCGTCTGGAAAAAAAGAATTGATTTCAAAATAATAACAACACCTCGGAAAATTACAAATATAAGAAGATTTGTCGACTTGTCATTGAACTAAAGTTTTCTTTATGTTGAATTTTCACAAACATTAAGATATTCTTCTATTTCTTGAATGGCAATCTAACAGTTCAGTAGCGAACCGTTAAAGGTATTTCCAATAACAAACTTTGTAATCATATCTCTGATTGACGAAAAAAGAAAGCTGAATTTTTTCCAAGATTTTTCTATACCAAAAGAAAACAGCAACAAATCCGGACAAACAAGATTGGCGAAAGAATGGCTTTTGAAACTCTCAAAATATACACATATTAATATTCTAGAAGAATTACGCTTAGAGTCTGCTGATAATTGATGAAATTACCTAGGCAGGATTAAGTTCTAAGGACCTGACGCTAGCTAGAATGAGAGTCATCGAGGGTATTAGGCCGAGGAATATTATTAACCGATCGGCCTATTTACCATTACGATCACTCTCTTCTATGAAACCCTTTTTTAGGGTATTATTCTAACCTTTCAGTCCCAAAGAAAACAATAAAGAGCGATAAATATCCTAAATGGTATGACAAAGGACTTCGTAAATGCATCGCGCAAAAGAATAGATTATAATACAAGAAATCAGGACTGAAAGGTGACTATGAAGCCTACACTAAAATTCGTGGTGAGACTAAAGTCCGCATGAACATGTGCTACTTGTTACCAACACTGAGCACCTGATCCCTCAAAATGTCAAACATTTTTGGTCATTTATCAATAATTTAAGGAGGAACTCGAACTTGCCGACGCAGATGAAGTACAAAGATTGTACATTGGACGGCTCTGATTCCATTGCTGACGCATTCGCCACGCACTTTCAAGCATCTTACTCCAGCCACGATGACTTAGATATGACATCCATTGAACCTGTCCAGTTTGCTACTACCTTATCATCTCATAACTTCCAGACACAGGAAATCACAGACAAGTTAAATCTGCTGGACATATCCAAAAAAGCAGGTCTTGACGGAATACCAGCTATATTTCTGACAGGTTGCACGTCTTCCTTAACCTTACCACTTTGCATTATTTTTCAACGAGCTCTGGATTGTGTTTTTTTTTTTCCTGAAAAGTGGAAGTTTTCCCTCCTTCTTCCCATTTTCAAGTCTTGAGATAGGTGCGATGTTGGGAACTACCGTGGAATATCGATACTTTCTGCCATCCCAAAAGTATTCGAATCAATCTTAACCGAGGAAATATTCGAAACCTATGAGACTTTAGCTTATACCAGCACGGATTTTTTAGCAAGCGTTCAACTGCATCAAACCTAGCAGTCTACCAGAACTTCTTAATAACCTCCGTTGAGGCTGCGACTCCAGGTCGACTCCATTTACACAAATCTAGCCAAGGTTTTTGATAGCGTGTGCCACCTCCTTCTTATAAAAAACTATCAGAAATTGGTATTTCTGGAAACTATTTAGCATGGATGGATCAAATCATATCTTGGAGATCGAACCCAGAGGGTTGAAGTGTGTGGCTACTACTAGCCCAAACCAACCCACTGCAACCAGATCTCGACAGATTTGCTTCTTGGTGTTCTTCAAACCTACTGAAAATCAACAAATCCAAATGCAAATCAATAACATTCCACAAAAACATCTCCTCACATGACAATATATAAGATTGGTGATCAACAAATTGATAATGTGGAATTCATCAACGACCTTGGAGTAGAGTTCGATCAACAACTGATATTCAAAATGCACATCGATAATATTGTCAAAAGCTGCAGATTGCTTGGCTTCATTAAGCAAAATACCAAACACATCAATGACACCAAGGCACTTACATGTCTTTACAACGCCCATGTACGCAGCACTCTTGAATACTGCTCCGTCATCTGGTGCCCACATTATACCATCCATATTAATAGACTAGAGAACCTCCAAAACAGGTCTCTAAAATACCCACTATATAAAGACCGCTTTCCTTCATCTGGAATACCTTATGAAACCAGATTGTTGCTGTGTGGGATGATGAGCCTTGAGCAGAGACGTAAACACACCCTACTCATTATTCTTTACAACATCCTGAATAATTGGATAGATTGCAGCGCAGCACATTATTGGAATCAATATTATTTTTAGTCCCCATTAGCACAGAACAAATTATGGATTCACAGCTTTTGTGGACAGAATGATTTGCAATTACAACAGAAATTATAGGGAGTGTGATTCTTTCAAATTGTTCCTTATTGTCGATTAAACGTTGTGTCTAAAGTTTAGATTTTAATTTATGTTTGCTTATGTGTACTACTAGACAAACTGTTGTTCACTGCGATTTTGTCCAATATCTTTTTTTTTTTTAATCATATTTTCATGTATGTACCATTTCGAAAACTTATTGTTATTCTGTAGTGTACTGATTGAGTAAATAAATAAAATAGATAAATAAATTATGATGATCCTGATCACTTCAACACTGACTAGAAGTGTGAGGGATCCGGTGAGACACTGCGGTTGTGACGCGAACGCAAACCACACAATATCGGTGGCTCAAATGTCAACAACAGGGGCAAGTATATATAAATGATGGCAAAAAAAACTGGACATAATTAATTAATGTGATGAGACAAGGTGTTCGGATCTCACACAACACACATACTAAGGGCAAGGAATTCCACCAGGAATGTGTCCTGATGGAACGATGACCTTGCGAAACTAAAAAGCCAGGTCAGAAAAAAATTGAACAAAGCCGAAAAACCTGCCAGTGGAAAACTTAAGACGTACTGCCTACTAAATGGATAAGAGATTATTTATGAATGTATTAGACTACAAAGAACTCTCCCAACAATTCCACAGACTACAATTAATTCACTCAATAACTTGGTGAATACACCAATACGGGGTAAGAGTCGGCTAGCGAACTCATTTTACTGGCTCAAATATACTAGATCTGCTAAGTGGATATCAAATGGGCCTTGAACTTGACAGGCGTCTAGGGAAGTTGACTGATCTCGAAGAAAGCGATCAACTACAAGAAGGTTACAACATTAACACATTAACTTGACTAATAAAGTCACCAGGGACCCATGAGATCTGTTCCATACTTTTACAGAACAGAACAGAAGTTGTCTTGCAGAAACCCTGTCTGGGAACGATTCAATTAAACCGGTGACAAAGTTGCAAATACCTTCGAGTATATTGATTACAAAAAAGATGCTGTGTATAGAACATTTAGAATTTATCCTGAAAAACCTCAATTTATCTGAAAACCAGAGGTATGACACAAGGCAAAAACTAAATCTAAAAACAGACATAACACATTAAAGCTATTTTCAGAAGAACATTTGATATAATAAAAACAGCGAGAAAAATATGGAACTCTTTACCAAATACGTTAAGAAAGACAACAACCAAACAATAAAATGCAGGGAATGAAACGGCGAGTTACTGAAACACGATTTTTCAGGATTTACCAAAAATTATCGATAATTTTTAATGCACTTCTTATATTATTACAAAAAATTCCTGTACATTGATAACTAGCAGACAATTATTGCAAAATAAAAAACATTTCAGAGAACCTCATAAAGAATTCATAATTACTTTATTTTTAAAGTCTGAGAATGAAAAGATTATTTTCTCTGTTTTTGAAGGATAATCAATACCAATTTAAAAATCAGTTGAGCAACAAAACGGAAGCCAATTTGTCGGAGCGTTTCCTAGATGTCTGAAAAATAAATGGTGGTTATCCACTAACAAGATTACATGCATGTGCCGGCAATTGATTTTTTTCAAAGACATACTTAATCCAATATTTAATCTTCCTGAGGAAGCAAAAAACTTCTAAGTAAAACAATGAGAAGTAATAATTTAAAATTAAGCACAGCTCAGCTGTCAATGACAAGTTTTTATATCTTGTTTGATGATTATTTCTCGGATTATTTATTACAATAAGGATTATAGCGAGGATTATAGAAATATAATTAAAAATAGATATGACGAGACAACTAGAAAAAACTAGTTCAAATTTAGTTCAATTAAATGTCGAAGTATAAAGGTGGTTTATAGTTTGAAGGCTATTTATATATTTATATCCTACTGAACTATTAAAACCATATAATACCTTGGTTACGATAATCATAAACAGGGTCTTAACTCCCAAGGGAGTTAAGGATTTTCATAACTCCCAAGGGAGTTAAGGAAGGGAGTTAAGGATATCATAACTCCCAAGGGAGTTAAGGATTTCCATAACTCCCGCTTTTACCTTGAATAGGTAACACTTTGACAAAAAATAGAAATTTTGATTTATGGCTTATTCCTTTATAAAAATAGACAGAATACAGTAAATTCAGTAGGATATAAAATTATCTATGTACCACGGGAATTATCAGGAGTTAATACCCACGGGCAATTGGTGTCCCTCGGGCCGGAGGCCCTCGGGACACAAACGTTGCCCTGGGGTATTAACACCTGCATAATTCCCTTGATACATAAATATCTATTATAACGAACTGATAATATTTTTAGGGACACAATTTTTTTGTAGTTCTATAAGTATTAAAATTTTCACAGTCACTGAATATTATCGTACCTCCTTGGCCACTTCCTCGGAGGTAATATTTTTCTATATACCCTAAAAAGGCGATGCGAGGCTGCAACTTACAAATAACTGTTTCTTACCTGTACAAGATTGTCTGCTGACTATCAATCTCTGCATTTCCAGCAAGTTTACTCCGAATACCATAAACTAACGTTTCGATATATCTGAGCAAAGGCGATATTTGGAGCAACAGGAACAGTATCCGGATCATCCAGTGGACAAGAGATGCTCGGCCAACTGAAGGATCATCGTGGTCAATAATGTACCTGAAAAATTATTTTTTTTGTTATCGTTTTCAAAAAAGGAAATACTTGTTGGTTTGTTTATTCAAATATGTACCTAAAAACAAAATATTATCTATTTATTATCAAACTGGGTAATTTTGTCATAATAATAATTGGTAGCTTTTAATTAAATATAGAGTGAGTAATGGATAATAATTTCTAGCCTATTTTTGTTGATGAACATTATATTTATTTAAAAAAAAAAAAATATAATGTTTTGAAATTACCAGCAAGTCTTTTTTTGTATTTGAAGTTCGACTAAACTTTTTATATTTTGGAGTTTGGACAAATTATCCAAATATAAAAATAGCCCAAACAAAAGGGATACCTAACGAAGTTTCAACTAAGCTGAGAATAAATAGAAAACCAAGCTCTTGAGATCAAATTACAACATGGAGTACATTTTTCACTGTTGTAAGAACAAACCCTCATCCAAAGAGATAAAGCATTGTTTTTGTATTATCTGTTTGAATGTGTATCATAAAAGTTGCGTCGAGAGGAAGGTTGGCTTTCAGTTGATCGAACTTCACAAAATAATTTGCTCCAAAACTTGCAATGAAGTTTATCTAGACCACCAAATCATTGAAAATGATGAATCCAACCCATTCATAGCCAAATTAGCTGACCTAAAAAAGCGTTTCGAGGATACAGAAAAGAAGAATGCTGACTTAAAATCGAAAAACAAGTCCTTAACTTTGGAACTGGTACAATCCAGGGACATAGTAAAAAAACATGAAAACTGTATAAGGGAGCTTGAAGACAGACTTAAACCTCAGATAATTAAGACAATGTTCAATTGGTAAACCTAATAAAACGGATAAGCCAAGAATCTATTGATTTGATTGAGGAAAAGATCTACTGCAAACTTAACACTGTTGCGAATAATATAATTGATTCCAACAAAGAATTAGTTAGATTGATGCCTATTCAGGAGTTTTCTCAAAATCAAACGAATACGGCAACATCGTCTAATCCATTTTCACTTTCAAACTCAGTGACCGCACAAAATTCATTGGCCTTGGCCAACAAGGATAACACGAACGAATCATCGCTTACTTCAGCCAGGGAAACGTCAAGTAATATTGTGAGGTTTGATAAAGATAATCACAATACTTTGAATATAAATAAACAACAAATAAATGATGCGTTGACTAGCTCCTTTTACGCTCAGAATCACCCCAATAATTTTACGCAACACAATCACAATATTATCACACCTATACGAAACATCTCTCTGCATCAAAGCAACTCGGCCATGGCCCCAGCATATTCAGCTCTCACACAAAATCAACTTACCGGGCCTCACAGTATTAAACCAAGCCTGAACTTGGGGACTAATGTTTCGGACCTTATTAAAGCAGTCCCATTTTCGCCTAAAAAGTGGACTTATCTGGGTAGAATATCTGCTGATTATACAAGCAGTGACATTCAAAAATATATGAGTGATAAATTAAATAATTCAGGGAATGATATTGTCAACTAGCTGCTTGGGAAAGGAGGACCCGGTATTCAACCTTATTAATTTAATTGCCGATTCGATCGAATATTTATTGCAATTCAGCAATAAATTAATATAAATTGCGCTGCAAGCCGCAGCAAAGGCAGACTTAAACCAGTGCAAGTACCTCTCGTTGGAAAAGCCCCTCTGGAATTAAGTCTCCCCAGTGCAAGTACCTCTCGTTGGGAACGCCCCACTGGGTATCTTCAGCCTTATCGTTGTCCAGTGCAATTACCTCTCGTTGGGAACGCCCCTCTGGACAAGGCATAAGGGTGACGATAAACTAATCTACAGTCCTCCAAGCAGCATTGACGTGTGGCTCCCTATAAGGACCCCAGTGTTCGAAGGGTCACGTATCTTATAGGATTAGCATACATGTAAGGTTATATTTGGGAAAATATATAGCATATATTTTTATATAACCTGAGCGAGTTTCTCTCCATCAACCCCCAAAGCTACAAACCCGTAAAGCGGGTAGTTGTGACAATATTACTATCAAAGAAATTCGCAAGGACTTTAAGATGAAATCATTCAAAGTGGGATTTGAAAGCACATTCTTTGATGACGTAAATAGCTGCGACTTCTGGCCAACAGGAGTAGTCTTTCGTGAATTTAATTTTAATCTTCCCAGAAAACCACAAACCATCCAAGGTTATTCTAATAATGGACCTGCACCATCAAAAAACGGGGAATATACTGCTATTATCAAAATGTTAGAGGTTTAAAGACCAAATTGAATAATCTTATGTGCAATTTTTTGAGTGAATCCTATGACATAATCCTTCTAATGCCCGTATTACACCTGTGTATTTTTCCGTGAATTTATTCATGTAGTTCAGGGTGACAACATTATTTTGTTTTTCGTAATGCCGATTTATGTTACGTTTGATTTTTTTCGGTTGTCACCCTGAACTACATGAATAAATACAAGGAAAAATTCACAGATGTAATACGGGCATTACAGAGACATTTCTTGATGAAAGTATCTCAACTTGTGAACTTGGCTTACATGATAGGTACATAGTGTTCAGGTGTGACCGTTCTCAAAAATCAAGTAAATGTGGGTCTCATGGTGGAGTAATGATTGCTGTGAATATGGACCTAAAATGCAAAATGCTTCCTCAAAATGATGATTGCCTTGAGCAATTATTTGTTATGGTTACTATTGACACTAAAAACTTATTATTTGGTAATATCTATATCCCACCAAACTCACCGAAATATATGTTATTCATCATCAGTTCTTCACATCTTAGATAAATACTCATGTGAAAATCTAGATTTATTCCTTTGTGGAGATTTCAATAGACCTAAGGTCTCATGGATCCAGAGTGATGATGGAACTAGACCCATTGGACTCAGTAGTGAAGAAACAAATTGTCTTGCAGATTGTATGGCATTTTGTGGTTTGTCACAATCAAATCAAATACCAAATCCTTATGGGAATTTTTTGGATCTCATCTTTAGCAAGAGTGAAAATGTTTCAATCATTACACCATTAAACAGGCACAAAAATCCAAAGTTTCCAAAATGGATGGACGATCAACTTAAAGATCTAGTTCTGAGCACATAAAGCATACAAACAATCACTTTCTTTGGAAGATTATTGTACTTTTTCTCAAATACGCACTCAGTGTCGTGAATATGCCCACGTAAGCCATCAAAGGTACTTAGATAACATAGAGGATAAGATACAGGACAGAAATGGTTTTTGGACTTACGTAAATTCAAAAAAAAAAAAAATGCAAAAGGTTTTCCTACTAATATGTCTTTCATGAATGAAAATGCTGACACACCACTTGGCATTGCTGAGCTCTTTAAGGACCATTTTTCGTCTGTATATGCGGAATATGATGAAACCGATGATTCGATTAATCGAAAATAATCGATTAATTGAAAATAATCGATTATTAATCGATTATCGATTTTTTGAAAATAAAATAATCGACTAATCGATTATTTTGCCAACCCCTAATTACTATTGCCTGGTTCACATAATAACAAAACTAAGTTTACACACCTGAATCACAGATCCCTGAATAACAAAGAAGCGACCCACAAAATCAATTAGTGTCGTCAAAAAAATATAAATGGGTTCCATTCTATCATTCGCTTCTATGTATTTCGATACAAGATGTGAACAAAACAGACAAAGGGAGTTATTGAAGAGCGTGGTTTGATTATGTATGCCCCTTTCAAACAGTTTGCAGTCTAATAATTATTATTGAAATGCAAAATTCATGATTGAGCATTTTTTATCAATCTTTTAATTTTTACTTTTTATTTTATGTACAAAAATAAAATCCCACTTAGTACCTAGTCATCCTAGTAACAAAAATATAGCAAAGTACTTAATTGCTCAAGTTTATAGTGCAATCATCATAAAAAATAATTTTGAATTTATTGCACATTCAAGATAAAATTACTACAGAAAACATATTATGGAATTACTTGTTTGGCCACATTTTTTCTTATTTCACAAGACGTTACCCAACTTAGAACAGGCTTAATATAATCGGTATAAATTGTACATTCAATTACGGTAACAAAAATAATAATTATATTGTTTTTGTTTTTAAGTTTCTTGTGGTTTTCCTCCTAATTTATCAATAGTAATATAACTAGTGCAATGGAAATTATTAATAATTTTTGGGAAATGCATTTTTAGTTGAAAAAGAGCACGAGTGCACGTAGTGCACGAATGCCTTTTTCAGTTAAAAACGCATGAGTGCAAATTTGTCGAAAATTATAAATATATTTCCATTGCACGAGTTGTATTTAATGAGAGAATTTCATAAATCAAAAATTTAAATTTTTTGTCAAAAAATGTCAAGACGCCAGTTTTCGCACCAGTTAGTATGGAATTATCTGATAATTTGCACTAGTGCAAATTATCGCCTAATTACAATCTGATTAGTTCAAATCAACAATCAAAACATGTCAATTTATTGTTGGAATACCAGTTTTGACAGATGTATGAAATTCTCACACTTAAAATTCTGAAAGGTAAAAATGTATTTACTAAGACTAATCTAAGTTGCAAACAGTAGTTATTTGTTGGAATAAGAATTACTATTGTTGGTCTTTTGTAAGAACCTTGACTTTAAATATAACACTTTCGATTCAGGTTTTATGATGTGCTAAAGTTTTTGATATTCGATCTGCCTAACCACTTTTTATTTTTAATTGAGATTTATAAGAAAAATATCTGACAGATTTATGTCTGATTTAAGGCTCTCGGAAATAAGTCCAGACTGAGGTCATGCTAAGAAACACAAAGTGGGATTTTACTAGATAAATGTGCCCAGTTTTTGTGCACCAAGGAGTGAAGCTAGTGAGTGCTCTAAGTCTTCACAAGATAAAATCAAAACCCTATGAAGCTTTGTTTATAATATTTTTGTGACGACGGACAAGAAAATAACGTTTAGGAATAAAATAAGGGACCAGAAATAGCTATTCGCAAGGAAGGAAAATCGTGCCTTCC